GGCGATGGGGAAGGGGGTGTGAAGGGTGTGGGGGGATGCTCGGGGTGTGGGCTAGGCTGCGGGGGAGGGATGGCAAGGCTGCTCAGGGGTAGGGTTGTTCTTTAACCTGTTGGTATGAGAAAGGCTGCCACGCTAGGGAGAAGGAGCTTTGGGGACAGAGCGGGAGGCGTGTGTGTGTGGGGCTGGCTGTGGAGGAGGTGGCTGGGCGGCTCTGTCCCTGCGGGGCTGGCTCCCGGGCAGGGTTGGAGGGTTGGGCGCGCGGGGCGGATCTGGGCACGTAGGAGGCAGATCCCCTGGGCAGAGGAAGAGGGCTGGGCACGCCTCTGGGGTGCGGGTTGAACGAAGCCGAGGAAAGGGAACATGGGACGAGCGTGGGTTTGAGGGTTCGCTCCGCCAAGAGGGATTCCCAGGCTGGAGTGAGGGGGGTGGGATTGGGAGGGAGTGGCTCAAGCCCTGCTGAAGTGACTGTTCCCACTGAGACGAGGTGTCATCATCGGTGCTCTTGGCCTCATGGCTTGCAGTGTGCTTTTACTTTAGGGCTCAGGACATGAGTTTGCAGTGTGATGGAGCTGGCTGAGATCTCTGGGGAGCAGGGCCATGGGGTTAGGCTGTGGTCTCTGCGACACCCCTGCCCCTTCCCAGTCAGCTCCTGAAAGCCTGTTGGTATAAACAGGATGTTAAGTGACTGCTTTGTTCAGAAGAAAACGCTGATGAGCTTTGTAAGCAGGTTAACATGAGGTTTGGGACTGTTCTCCCAGGCATTGGTTTCAAGGGTTATAATGTGAAGGCTGCAAGCTCATCTAGGACAGGTGTTTGTCATCCTGGCTTTTTCTGTGTGAATTTCCTGTAGTTTCTGGCTTCCAAATACAAAGCTCTTTCCTCTTAAGTCAACTTGGGAATGCCTTAGCTGAGCCAGCAGTGACAATCTTATTGGCAGGTGTTAATCCCACCTCATTACATAGTAAAGAGGAGATGTCAGTGTTATCTGGTATGGCATACTCATAGGGAATATAGTTGCAGAAATAGGAATTAGAAAAGACCTAGTTTATTTCCATTGGCTGATAAAGGATTGTTCCCTTTTCCATAGAGCTCTGTCCTGTATTAAATCACAGAGAGTTGGGCTTTCCTTAGGAAAAAAATCAAATGAGCAGAGACAAAAAAAATTGTCATTCAGAGGATAAATGGTGTCTTTGGATTAGACCTAAGAGGCACACTTGATCTTGCTTTGGAAGCCTTCAGCTCATCTTGAGGTAATTGCTCTATACTTTCTGAAATTTACTCCACGTTCCTAAGCAGTGTAGAGCTCTTCTTTGCTTTTTGGTTTTTTTTTTCTTTTTTCCTTAAGACCTCAGACATGCCCAGCAATTGGTGAATGGATTGGTATCTGCATGGGATCCTTCTGGGTAAAGTTCTGAGGGAGTGTCAGTTCTTCGTGCCATTCGCATAGGGAATGTGCTGTCCGAAATAGTATCTTTAAGCTTCTGGCTTCAGTCCTTTTCCTGAGAAGTGCTTTGTCTGTTTTCCAGTTCAAAGAAGAGATTTCCAGACGATTTAAAGCCAAACAGGATCAGCTGGTTCTGATCTTTGCTGGGAAGATCCTGAAGGATGGAGACACTTTGAATCAACATGGGATCAAAGATGGGCTGACTGTGCATTTGGTCATTAAGACTCCACAGAAGTAAGAAATGATCCCATGGGTGGGGGGCTGAGGGTAAACTGCTGATGTGAATAAATGATGGTGGAAGGGTTCTGCTTTATCTGCAGCTGAAGGGGAGCACCTTGTGTCAGACTTGAGTGCTGGCTTTGGGGCGTTTGTGAGGTGGTGGTGATCTGGCAGGAGAACTCCTTTAGGTTCCTTGACCTGCCGCTGCTTTGCCATGTGACTGTGGGGTTTATCACTTGGCCTGTTTTTTCCCTAGTTTATGCACCTGTGTAAATTTGCAAGTGACAGAGGGGGCTGAGTTTTCTCTAACGCAGAGCTAGATACGACGACTGTAGGTATGGAGCGTCCATAACTTAGTAATCCTGCGAGAACCCATTTGAACTTGGTACTGTCCTAGTTGTAATAAAAATGCAACTGTTAGCAGAAATTGCGTTCCCACTGAGTTCACGTTGATGTTCAAACCGATACCCAGTTATTCTCTGTTAGCTCTTGCCATGTGCGCTACTCTTGAGCTCGTGCTGTCTTTCAGGTACCGTAAACTTCTGAAAGACATGCAGTGCATGGAGAGCATTATCCAAGGGACAGAACAATGTTGTTTCCTTGTGGTACTTGCGGAGAAACTATCCATGCAGATGTGTCTAAATCTGAATGCAAGGAAGTTCTGGCCATATGACTACATAAGTACAGCAGGGTGTTTGTTAGCTCAAATACAGCACTGTAGTCACACCCCTGTCTAGCTTCCAGTTTGGACACAACTGACTTGTGTCTGTGTTGTGCTGTGCAGATCAGCCTGGGAAAGGAATACAAGATTGACAGCACTGAAAAGATGCTGCAGGGTCAGGCTTTTCCCAAACGCTGTCAAACGGAGCGGTAGGCATTGAAGGTTCTTGGGAATAGTTGCTGTATTTCAGACATGGCCACGTCTTGTTGGTTTCGAAATGCTCTTCGCAGCGATTTCTTGGGCTCCCCGCTGCAGCCTGATCAGGCTCCTGGAAAACTAACAAGGCTGCATCTCTGTGCAGTTCTGCTGTCCCCTGGGAGAGCTACCTTACTGGCTTAGTCAAGATTGGTGGGTTTTTTCCCTTTCTTTCCTTTTACAAAGACAAGCATGTACGTTGTCAGCTTCTGCGGGAGGCCCCTTTACTGGATTCTGCATCTCCAGGTAGCCTGATAGGCTGATGCTGTTTGCCAGTGTCTGCACAGCAAACGGCAGTACTTGTGAACCATTTCAAAGGGTAAATGAGAAAGCTGTCCTGGGTTGCTTGTTTTATTCTCCTACAGTCATAGATAAGTGCTTGCTGAAGACATTACAGCCTTTTCCTGTGCTGAGAGAAACCAAGTGACCTTTCTCCAGCTTCCCTCTTCCTTTTTTGTTCGGTTTCCTATTTGCTTTGTTTCCCCACATGCCTTGCCTCCCTCTCAGTGGCTGCTGGCTTTCAGCAGCAGTCAGTTGAATCTGGAAAATTCATAGGGGCCTTCAGGTTACATTGTTTGTTTGTTTTTATCCTAGAATAAGAGTGAAAGAGGAAAGGGAATTAGAAATGGGAATCATTCTTGGATTGAGGGGGGAAAAAAATCAAATAGTTTTTTAATTATTTGTCAGTGGTGTAATTTTTTTTTTTTAATTTGAAGTGAGTAAAGTGAATTTTTGCGGTCTAGTTTCATTTGAAGGCTTTTGAGCGCTAACCCAGGATTATCACTGCAGTGACTGCAGATGCTTCAAAGTATCCTTAAATGTGTGGGTGTGTTTTTTCTCTCCCCTCCCAGAAGAGCCCTGGGGAGGAATTGTGATTTCAAAGTACTTGTTCAGGTATTAGCGCTAATAGTGATAGCGTAGTAGTGTACTATTGCTACTCTGGCTTGTGGCACAATACCTGCAGGCACCTATTAAAAGCGGCTCTGGCCAGCTTGTGTTGGAAGGAGAGGTCTCCTGGATAAAGTACAACAGTAGCAAAGATGTGAGTTTATAGCCAAGCTGTCCAGAAACGTTTTGTAGCTTCATAGGACAGATGATGTTACTGCATTGTGCCTCAGTTTCCCTCTCTGTAGAATAAAGTCAATTCTTGTTTTGCCCCCAGGAGCACTGGTAGTAAGACTCACTGCTTGGAAGGAATTGCAGAAAAGCAGATTCTTGTTTACCCTGTGCAGTAGCCCTGCTGTAACCTCCTGTGGTTTCTGTGGGAGCAGCAGGAGGATTTTCCTGTTTGGAGCAAGCTTGTTGCTCAAGGATATAGCTGAGGTAAATAGTTCAGTGCCATTCGAGGAAGAGCTAGATATAATTCAGAGTAAGTCCAGTCAAGCCACTTTGTGCAAGCCAGGATGAAATGTCATGGGCTGTTACGCATCAGCATGGGAGGCAGAGTCCAACAGATGGAAGGCATCTGGAAGACACAGCTGTGAATCCATGCAGACTGGAATGGCTGCTGCTGGGATGACAGGCTCAAAGGGAGACTTTGTTGATGTGGGGTGCACAGTCCTGTGTCCCCTACCGAGAGCTCTGCTTAACTTGTCTGAATCTCAGGAATTTAATGGTTTCTTTGCAGGCTCCAAGATCCTACAGCTGCTGCTTCTGTCCCCACTGCTGCTTCTGCCCCCACTGCAACCCCTCCTTCTCCTGCTGCCCCATCTCAGCCTTCCACATCCAGCAGTGCCGTTTCTGACACGGGGAGCGGCAGCAGACGGAGCAGCGGGTCAGGGACCATGGCGGGTACTGGAGATGGAGCCCCTAACAGTGCTACGTCCATCCTTTGTAAGTGATGGCTGCCTGACAGTCTTACCCAGAGGAAGAATTTCCTAGGATTAGAGCAAGGAGCTGGGGTTCTTGGCCCCTATAGTTGGCTCTGTTGCTTGCCATGGGCTTTGCATGAGTCACTTCCTTCCGCGTGCCTCAGTTTCCCTGCTCGGGGTAATACCAAATCCCTTTGTAAGCATGCGCGTGGGATGTCCTCTCAGAGCCAGCTGCCACAGGAATGGGATACCCTTAGGTTAGCATGGATGCAACGCAGTTCAGTTGATGCGCTTGTCCTCTCTTTGCAGCTGCCGACAGTTACTGACTCACCCTTCTCTCCCCTTGCGGTGTTCCCTCTCCAGCTGGCTTCGGCGGCATCACTGGGCTGGGCAACCTTGGGATGGGCTCCGCCAACTTCATGGAGCTCCAGCAGCAGATGCAGCGGCAGCTGATGTCCAACCCAGAGATGCTCTCTCAGATCATGGAGAACCCCTTGGTGCAGAACATGATGTCTAACCCTGACCTCATGAGACAGATGATCATGGCCAATCCCCAGATGCAGCAGCTCATGGAGCGAAATCCGGAGATAAGCCACATGCTGAATAACCCAGAGCTCATGAGGCAGGTGAGTCAGCAAACCAGGGGCCCAAGGCCTGTTTAAAGCATATCCAGGAGCATCTTTGTGGACTAGCTTCAGTGTCTGTTCTCAAAAGGCAGTATGTAAGTTCCAGACCCGCTGAATTCGGAGATCTTTCTTTTCCTTTCTGCTGTGAGCTCCCCCAAACAGATGGTGGTCTTGAGTTATATGAATAGTCATTACTCAGCCCACATGCTTGCAATCCTCATCTCCCTTTCAGGGCTGTTGAATCCATCATGTGTTGGGCAGAAAGGATGCTTGGATCTTCCAAGTGTACTGCATCCAAGGTTACTGTGTTCTGATTCAGGGATGGGAGCAAAAGCAGTTGTGGTGGAGAAAGCGAAGCCGTTGCAAAAGCTCTTTGTTCTTCTCTGCTTCTGTTGTTAGATAGTTAAATACAGACTGCAGGGCTGTACAAACAATATTTTACCCCGTAAATCGATGGGGAGCGCTAGTTGTAGGCTGGGATCCTTGAAGTCTCAATTTTGTGTATGGTCCTAGACCAGAGACTGCTCATTTCCTAGAGACCTGACTATCTGTAAGGCAGCAGCTCTATTAGAATGGGAGCATAAGGGAAGAGTTAGAGTCCACGTGCTAAATAGCCAGTGACAGGACTCTGCTCTTTCCCCGGAAAGCCTTGTCAGGAGGTGTTTCTGGGTTTTTGCTCAGTGAGACTAGCTTCCGTCCGCTTCTCAGTTATGTTTCTCTTTTGGCTGTCAGTCATGCCCGAAATTCCAGACTGGCTGGTCTAAACTGCAAATGAGCTGTACTTTAACAGCTCTTCAAATCAGGTCTGGATGTTCCTCATTCAGGGGATACCCAGCTGAAAGCTGGAGATGGTGAATTACTTGGTTTTCCTGAAACAGGAAGGATCCAATCTCTTCCACCTTCTCAGTTTTTGAATGCACTCCATCTACTTTGAGTGGGAACATATGGGTGTTAAATGTTTGGATGTCCTGATACTGCTTAGAAACGAAACAACCTCATCCAGCTGAATTGAGGTTGTAAAGGAAGAGAGCTTAGCAAGGATGGGAGGAGCCAGGATCCCTGGGCTCTCTTTGCTTGGATAAATGATCTCTCTGCTCTCTGGCTGCGAAAGGGGTTTAATTATACTCTTTCTTCTGGGAGCTGAGATTTAACTCTTTCAGTGCTCGACTAGTAGATCATCACCGCTGGGCTGCTAACCAGTCTCTTTATCCACTCCAGTCTTCCATGGTGTGCATAGGCTTAAACTTTCCACGTTTTCTTCCTTCTCCCAGACAATGGAGTTGGCTCGTAACCCTGCCATGATGCAAGAAATGATGCGGAACCAGGACCGTGCTTTGAGCAACCTCGAGAGCATTCCAGGAGGATACAACGCCCTGCGCCGGATGTATACAGACATCCAGGAGCCCATGTTTAGTGCAGCCAGGGAGCAGGTATGGCTGCAGCCCCTTAAGTGGGGCTGAGTAGCATGCTGAGAATGGGCAGGGTGTTTTTCCCTGTCCCCTCATGCTCAGCCTGCCTTTTCAAATCAAGAGCGTTCCTCCCCTCCATCTCTAGATTATAGATGCAGCCGTTAGCAGGAGAATGTTGTGCCGCACCAGTCGCTTGCTTTTATTACAAGATTTGGTGTATCTGAGTGGAGACCTGACCTCGCTCCTTTTGGTCTCCAGGCAGGCTGGATGCCAGCCATCTTTAGTCTGAAAGCCCCATAGCTTCGTTAGCCCGGCCCTCTGCTCTCGGCAGGGCTTACTGTATTAGCTCAAGCCTGACGCCTTTGGATTGGAGCTGGCTGGAAGCCAGCTGGCTTGGAGCACAGGAGGAGCGAGTGCAGGTCTGTCTGCAAAAGGCTGTGCAGACATACTCCAGTCTAGCATTACCTACTGGTATGTCCGGGTGCTGATTTTACATGGATATTTTGAAGCCCAGTATTTGGGAGCCAAATTTAGGGCTGTGGCTGTTTCTTGAGCCTGGTCTTTTTCTGAATGTGGTGTGTTGTGGATTACAAATTTCTCAGGAGGCAAATTATGGCCTGTGTTTAGCAAATTCTGGACCTGGATGAATGCGATGGGCTGTTCTTTAGCTCATGCAGTGCTGGGGTTAGTCTGATGCTCTCTTAGGGCGGACTGATTAAAGTTGTTTTTTTTTTTTTTTTTTTTCTTTTCCTTTTTCCTTAGTTTGGCAACAATCCGTTTTCTTCCTTGGCGGGGAATTCTGACAGCTCGAGCTCTCAGCCTTTGCGGACAGAAAACAGAGAGCCGTTACCTAACCCCTGGAGCCCCACGCCCCCTGCTTCCCAAAGCCAGGCACCCAACAGTGAAGGGAGCACTGGCTCGGCAACCACCCAAAGCACACCGACTGTATCCAACCCCTTTGGGCTGAATGCTGCTAGCATTGGGGCTGGTACGTAAGCAAGAGAGGAACAGAGGGGGCTACTGACTGAACAGATCACCTAGACTTCCTTGGAGGGAGGTTCTCTGGCATTGGAATGCCTGACTCTGGCTGTTCTCCAGATAAATAATTCTAGCCCGATTGCAAGTGAGCCTGGATTATTCCTTGTGTGCCTGTTTGAGGGTTACTTTGGGAACTCGGAGATGTCCCTGCAGCCCTTGAGAGCATAGGAGGTGGCAAGCAAAGCACCACAGCTGTTCACAGCTGTATTTGCTGTTGGCCAGTAAAAGCACCGCTGTTCCATGTCATGTTGTATTTCGGGCGCTGCAGCAGTGCTCAGGCTTGTAAGGGGTTTTCCTTTGTCTTCTCTTCCCTTACCCTTGCAGGCATGTTTAACAGCCCAGAGATGCAAGGACTCCTGCAGCAGATTTCCGAAAACCCTCAGCTGATGCAGAACATGATCTCTGCCCCTTATATGCGAAGCATGATGCAAACTCTTGCCCAGAACCCAGACTTTGCAGCACAGGTAAAAGTGTTGCAGCGTGTCTGCTGTTATCAGACAGACCTTGAGCACGACGCCTGTGAGACCAGTCTGCTCCTATAGCTGGAGAGGTTCCTCTTTGCAGGAAACTAAGAGTTGAGTGAATAGGCAGTTCTGTTTTACTTCTAGATAGCTTGAAGCCAGCCATAGTCCTGAACCCTAAGGCTTCAAGAGTTCTCTGTATCTTAGCAGAGCCCTAAACTAGAGCAGGTGGCTTTCAAAGGGACTGGCCCTCCTATCCGCTTGTGGGCGGTAGCCCCTGTTCAACACTGTTGCTAGGAATTGAGCTGTCTTATTTCAGCCCCTGTTAGCAGGGAAGTGTGTTGAAAGCCCAGGGAGGGAGTCATGGGCTCATGTGACGTACTCTGTGTGGCCTAGGTGCATAGGGTTTAACAGCCAACGGCAGCAACCCTCTGACCCTACCTATGTATGCTGTCTCTTGCTAGATCATGGTAAATGTCCCCCTCTTTGCTGGGAATCCACAGCTTCAAGAACAGCTCCGCCTTCAGCTCCCTGTCTTCTTGCAGCAGGTAAAGGCCCCTGTCTGGCCCTTTGCTGCTCTCAGCCCCTGGGCTTCAGAGCTCTTTCATCCCCCGTAGGAAGGGGAGCATGTTGGCTGCGCAGTCAAGTGGGCTAGGAAACATGTGGGTCTGTGTAGTTTGGGCCGTGAAAGAAAGGGGTTTGCACAGGGGAGAGAGAAAGCGAGAGCTTGTTTAAACAAGGCAATCTAAATTACCTAAAGGTGGACTTTAAATTAGACTAGTTAAGCTACACGAAACCCCAGGGTGGACCGCCTCTCCCTGTAATGCATTTACAACAATTAAAACAGCTAATTGCACTAGAGCAGCTGCTTCACTCAAGTAAATCAAATAAAATCACTCTAATCCTGAAGGTGGGTGTCCCCAGTTCTAATGATTCACCTAGTTCATTTAGGAAATCTGATCTAAACTTTGTTCAAGTATCTCTGTGTAGATGAGCCCTTTTGCCTTTGTTTCCAGATGCAGAACCCAGACTCCCTCTCCATTCTCACCAACCCCCGCGCCATGCAGGCGCTTCTCCAGATCCAGCAGGGACTCCAGACGCTGCAAACGGAGGCCCCAGGACTAGTGCCAAGGTAATAAGTGCTTTAGAGTGGGTTTCTGCAGCAGAACTGACATGCTTGGTCCCAGGAGGCGGACTAGCTGCTGTTGATTCACAGAGGAGATCTGCTTAGGGAGCTCTGTCCTGGGAATTTGTGTGTGCGCGCCTGCAGGCCTCTGTGAGCTCTAATTAGCACTTTCTGCTTGTTTGTACGTAGTGCAGGAAGTCCTTGACCCTTTCTTTCTGCAAAAAAGATTTGAAAACCCTTTGGTCCCTCCCCTCATCTTTTGTCTCTGGTATTTGGTATCGCCTGAACTCAAGAATTTTATCTCTGGGGAGAAGTATGAGACGTAGAGCTGCAAGGCTGGGTGGATACGTTAGGGCAAACTGGTCTGCCAGCAGCCCTCAGACCTGCTGGTCTTTGACAATATGGGTCACGTTCAGTCTTTGCAGTTCCTTTCAGACCTGCGCCTCTGTTAGGACCACTTACTTCCAGCGTCACGTGTGACCAGGATACACACGCAGCCGGCTTGGTTTACAAAAAGCTGCCCTGTAGCGAGGGCCAGCCCGGCAGAGGCTGCCAGTTACCCGTGCTGCGTAACTCTCACGAGACAGATGGGGGGACACCCAGAAGTGCCATGCTTGCCTCTGAGCACGCCCTGCCTTCCTCCGCAGCCTCGGCTCCTTCGGCATGCCTCGAATGCCCCCGTCCTCTACAGGAGGAAGCACAATCCCAGAGAATCCTGTTCCCTCCGCTTCGACGCCGGCCAGTGCCTCTCCAGCCGGGGGTGGTAACCCCCAACAGCAGCTCATGCAGCAGATGATCCAGCTGTTGGCCGGAGGAAGCTCTCAAGTATGTAATGCCTGGCTGCATGCTGATACGCTCCTGGGGGGCGCTTCTGGAGTAAGCCAGAGGTTTTTCTCCTCCAGGGTTGCAGGTCCCCAATAGGTTTTTCTTGGGTACAGTGTTTTCTGCTACGTTTGCTTGGTTTGGTGTCTCAGGTTGGCTGGTTCTTTGGGGATGGAGTGACCCTTTGCACAGGCTTGAAACTAAGAGCTACAGGGACAGCTCAAGTGCCAGGGACCCTCCTCCCAGCGCTGCTGTCCACCTTAGGTACTGAATTTGGGCTAATGCTGTGTGGAGTGGCTGCTCTGCCCAAGCCTGTGGCAACTTGGGGTGGGGGTCGCGTCACTAAGTGAGCCTGGAGGGTTTCCGTATTCTTTGAATTTATTAGGGATCTCTGCTCAGCCACCGTTGCTGACCCTGCCCACAGTGGATGTGATCTCTGCTGTCCAAATCTCAGGTCTTTCTGTCCTTTCCCTTTTACAGGCGCAGAGTCCTGAAGTGCGATTCCAACAACAGCTGGAGCAGCTGAACGCCATGGGCTTCATTAACCGTGAGGCCAACCTCCAGGCGCTTATTGCCACTGGTGGAGACATCAATGCAGCTATTGAGAGACTGCTGGGCTCCCAGCCTTCCTAATCTCTTGTCATGCTGCCCCACAGACGTCAGCACACGCATCCATACACATGCACAGGGGGACCTTTCAAGAAAGCCCACCATCATTTTCATATCTGACAGCTGTCCATGTATTTAAAACAAAAAGATACAGCTTAACCCCTGACCTTCCTACTAAGTTAAGATTTCATGTTGAAATGCTCTTTAACTGGCTTGTATGTGGATTCCAGTTCTCATCGTGGCCACAGAGACTTCAGATGTGTATTTTTTCCTAAATATGCCCTCTGTCTCAGACACTCTTCTTCTCTCTAGATGGTAGAGGCGATACTTCTAGTTACTTACCTGAATGATTGTGTTTTGAGTAGCTTGATTTTAACTGTACATGATTCCCTCCCCTAGACCTCCTTCCAGGCAAATATTTAAAAAATAAGCCAACTTGGTTTTGGTTACTTCTCCCAGCATCTTATTGGGAACGGATCAAAAGAAAAATTGAAGTGACTTGGAAATTGCTGATGTCCTTTGTCTTAATATTCCACTGGATGAGCCGAGCCTGTGTCCTTTGCACGCAGGTGTGTGTCCAATCTCCTGCTAAAGGGTTGATGCGCATGAAAAATACATTTGAACTATGGCCTTTTTATGCTGTTGGGATGGTGTAAAGGAGCCTAGATGCCTTTAGGGATCCGGCTTGCTCTCCTTGAACCCAAGGGTGAAAGTGCTATGCAGAAGAAAGTGTTTGAAAGGGGTCTTTCTGCATAGGCAGTCCAGTTCCTGCGCAGTGGTGTCGGGGTTTGACTCTTGTGCTCAGCAGTCTCGTTTATGAAAGTGTAAAAGCAAAAGGAAGTAGAAAAATAAGTTAACAAAGACCTCTTCTCTCCACTGGAAAATGTTGAAGTTCATGTTCTTCCCAGTTCAGACCCATCATCTCTTCATCTCTCTCCACCTCCCTCCCCCACCCGCCGTTTTGGTGTGTTTGAATGTCACAACTCTCCCGAGAAACCCTTCCCAAGGACCAGCAGGGTGATATTTTCCCAAGAGCCTCCATGGCTGTGTAATTTGCATACCATTTTTATCAAAAAAAAAAAAAATAAATGCGCACAACCATCTGTCTTCCTGCGCTCCATGTATCTTCCTTGATTACTGCATTTAAGCTGATTGAGTTCCCCTAGTTACCTGTGATTAATTTGTCTTGTCCCATTTCCTCCATCACCACTACCCAATTTCCTTTTGTAGATAATGTGGGGTGTCATGCAGCCTTCTGCCCACCTTTCTGGGACTTTTTGTGGCTGGAAACCTTTTTGACGCTTGAGTACTAAGAAATGCTGCTGAAGGCTTGCCCAAAATCTGGCACTAAACATGCCTGTCCAGCAGCTTCCTTTGCATTAAGGGCTTTCGAGTGTGTATGGGATAAACCGAGACTTGGTGACTGCTGGTGCTCCTGTGGCACGGCTGGTTGTGGAAAGTGGATTTGACCTCTGCTTTTCTGTAGTGAGCATGGCACTTGCCATTAGCCGGGGTTGGTATTGTGTGTTTATTTTTCTTGGTGGGAGAAGACTAGAAAGTGAGAGGGAATGGGTGAGATGCCAGGGCTTCCTGTGTTCCTGTAAAACCCATTGCGCCCAGTTTAATTCTGAATTGGAGATGGGGTCTATCAATTTTCTTTATTGTCTTGGAGAGCATAGGTGGAACAGTGGTTGCTTGAGAATATGTGCGGGGAGGGGGAAGTATGGAAATAATCCTGCCTTTGTGTAATGTGTATCGCAGCAATTTTTTTAAGATGGGCATTTAAAAGGCCTAAGTTTAATCTTGTATTTCTGGAAGGCTGTGGACATGTATATGGACTTTTTGCACCCCCTCCCCAAACGTGTAAAGCATTTGCAAAGAGTTGTGTAAGGATGGGATGTCACTAAAGTTTCTGATCGGACTGGTGGGGGTTAGAGCTCTTTCCCAATGCTGCTAATCAGCCCCTTTGTAGTTACATTTGGGCTTTACAGAAAGGCCCGAGTAAACAGTGATCCCTTAGATCTGCTGGGCATCCTTTGCCTGCGCTGAGCTCTGATTGTCTTTGCACAAGCTGTTTCTGCATGCAAGGCAGCTCTTGCAAAGAATGTGCTTGCAGGAGCTGGGGACAGAGGGTGGGATAAGCAGGTAAGCGAAAGGGAAAAGAAAAGGCAGCTGAAAGGAGAGTTGGTGCTGCTGGGTTGCAAGACCCACTTTTGCAATAGCGTTGTGCTCCGCATTTGAACCTCTTTCCAAAGCGAAACGCCCAAAGATCATGAGGAAAGGGCACCCTTTTATCTCAGGATCTAACCTGTAAAAGTGGCCTGCAGGGCTAGGAGTTGTCTTCTAAAAATCCAGCTGTGGTGCTGGTCTGAAGCTAATGAATGGACAAGGTGTGCAACTTCTTCGCTGCTATAAATCCTTCAGGAAACCACTTGGCCTGTTGCCTTCTCTGCTTAAACCCAAAGCTGGTCACAGCCTTTCCAGCTCCCTCCCTAGTGTCAGCAAGACAAGCTGTTGTGTACATCGCGTCAACGCGACGACTCGGTGCAGGCTTTCCCCCAGCGTGGACCTGCAAGGTTGAGTAGGGTTGAAGGGTGAAGGTGAAGCAATGGTGTTTACTTGCAGCACCCTCCTCCATCCCTGTGTGTCTCTGCTGCCTCGGCTCATCCCTGGTCAACCTCAGAGACGGGGCTGGAGCTGAGCTGTGCAGAAGCCCTTTGGTTTGTGCCTGGGAGTAAAGCCGGCTAGAAATAACTGGCATGGCAGAGGGCTGAAAGTGTAGGCAGGGTGCTGTGAATTACTGAGGAGAATGTATTTCTTGTAGAAGTTCTTGCTAAGATTTTTTTTTCTTTTTTCCCCCCTCCCCCTAAACTCATGTCCTGCTTTTCCAGAGAGCTCTGGACCATGGCGAGCCTGTGGAAGCTGTTCTCGAACAAACGCTTCCCGCAGAAGGAGGGTAACGGTCGTCATCTATCTGGGGGAGAAGAGAGGAGGAGGAAGTGCTCGGTCTTCCCAGGCCGTTCAATGCGCGGTGCCTCTCTGCTCGTTTAAGCAGGAAAACATATTTCTCCCATCTCCTCATGTCTGCAGCGCCTGCTCTTGTGTCAGTTTGAGATCATTCCTCACCTGCTGCCAGCCCACCAGCCAAGGTGCTAAAATAAAGATAACGGGGCAGCCTGCTATCTCGGCGTGCAGCCTCTGTTTGCACCTGATGTTCATCTACCAGCTCTCCGGCTTCCTCTGGGTAATTTGGCAAAGCTGCCACCCTCCGCTCTGCTCCTCACTGCTCGCGGGTGCCTCGCTTTATTTGGTCAGGGCAGCCTGCCTCTGGCGTGGCTGGATCCCCGTTCCCGGCTTTGCAGCTGGGGCTGGAGCCGTGCGGAGGGGAGCAGCCGTTCCCGCTGGTGGGAAGGAGAAGAGCGCAGGGAAACGCTGTGCGGATGAGCGTGCCGCCCCGAGGCGCAGCCTCGGCCCCCTGCGGACCTTGCAGCGTTGATGTCCCCGAGGTTGTTCAGAGCGCGGTGGGTTTTGCAGGCTCTTCCCTGTAGCTGCTATAACAAAGGCTCTCATCCTCTTCCCCCCCCCCCCCCTTGGGGAGCAGAAAAGCATCCCGCTCTGCCTGTCCCCGCTGCGCTCGGGCTCCCGTCGCATGAGCTGGGACAGGCGGTGAGATGCCTGGGACAAGGTCGCCGCGGGAACTTTTGCTTTTAATAAATTTGATCTGGCAGAATGAAATTTGGAGGAGTTTGTGGGCTCTCCTTCGGGTGCGTCCGATCTGGCCCCCTGCCTCAGAAAGGTGATGTCCCGTCCCGAGGACGGCCGGGCCCTCGCCGGCGCCCTCTAACCTTTGGTTGGCCAAGGCCTGCGAGGAAGAGGCAGCTTTGAATGCTGGTGAGAAGGGAGCTTTTCAGTGAAACCTTAATCCCCTCAAGACAGCTTTCCCTAATCCTCACTAATGTGCTACTCAGAAGCCCCCTTTTAGAGGAGCAATTGCAATTTTTCGAACGGTTGTGTATCTCCTCCCAGAGGACCTGCCCAAAGGTGTTTCTTGCTAACTGTTTCCTCTCGCTTTTCGTTGGTAAATAGAATTAATTCCTTTAAAAGGTGATGGAAGGAGCAATTTCCTCAGCAGGTAGCGATGAACCCAGCTGACTGATTTGGAGAGATTTCTCCTGTAAGGGACTTATTTGCACTTTGTTGTTTGCACCGCTCCCCCCTCTCCCCCCGACAATAACCAAGCGTAACACTCTGCTCCCTGAAGCCAGACTTCTGAGCATAGAGGGGGAAGATGTTGCAGAAAAAGCACACCTAAATTTCCTTCAAGAAAGCATTATTTTATTGCCACAGCCACTGCTGTCACACGGGCTCAGTCCCTGCATCTGCGCAGCCGCGATGTTGGCGCCTGGGCTGCAGTGAGTGGCCCTGATTTCGCGGGTGCAAGTTCAAAATAACTCTGTGACAGGTAATAAATCCTGAGCGAGCGGTGAGAGGGGAATGGGGTTAACGGGGAAAGCTCCTGGGGGTTAGGAGAGCTTGGAGGGGGAAAAAAATATACGCACACACACAGGTAGTACGCACAGGTAGGGCTGGACTGCTGGAGCATCCTCTGTGCTCAGCCCTGGGAGGAAGAAGACGATGCCGGGCTGAGCACAGGCTGGATTACGCTTTGCAGTGCCGCAG